GCATGAGGCTCTAGCAGCTGGAAGGTAAAAACAAACACTTTCCTAGGGATTTCAGTAGATACAGTTTCTGAAGAAACCTGATTTATGCCATTTGAGCTTTTCAGAATTCTGATCTCCACAATAATTGTATTCTGTTTAAGAATCAAATTTGTTGTAATTTGTTATGTTAGCAACTGGAAAATAACATAGGAACTCAAGTCAAGAGCAAATTCAGATGGAGGAAAGGGATGCTCTGAGAGCAGTAAGGTCAGGATGCTAATTCATCAACATGTTAGAGTAAACAATGTTCATGATCCTGGATCAGGAATGCCTTATAGGGATTTGAACCACAGTGAGAGCTAGAAGTCATTCCCTCATAACTATGTTCAGTACTAATTCCTTTATCCTGCCAAGGTTTATACTTTATCCAAAGTTGCATAAAAAAGAAACATAAAGCAGCCTGGTGTGAAGCTTGCCATGTTTCCTGCACTTTCCAGGCTTAGAAAAAGCAATAGGTTCTATGGAAGTAGTACTCAAAAGACACATTGTCATCACAAGCCAGTGGGAAGATATTGTACTAATCCTAGACTGAAATAAGTGGTAAATGGACACAAAGATGGAGGAGTCTGTGTCCAGAGTAGAAGCAGACAAAAACAAGTAAACTGGAGTACTAACAGGGAAAACAGACCAATTGTGGGGGAACCATGGGTCTTCAAGGACACAGAGATTTTTGATCAGGTTCATACAATTTCTTTATTCTTAGGAATCTACAAGAAGCCTTTCCTCTTGGCCTTACAACCTCCCCTGGTGGAATTAGGAGAGAAGGTGACACTGGAGTGTCGATCAGAGATTATGTTTGACACCTTCGTTTTGACTTCACATAAAAATGGAACAATCAAAGACTCTTTCAAGCTTTCTGCAGAACATTATCATGGAGGTTCCCAAGCCAACTTCTCAATAGGTCCTGTGACACCTGATGATGCTGGGACATACACATGTTATGGTTCCTTCAATCACTCGCCATATGAGTGGTCTGAATCTGGTGACCCCATTGACATAAAGATCACAGGTAAGAGCACGTCACCTGCTCAACATTCTCTTTGTGATACAGAAAAATATTCTGTACACTACAAACTGTGGGAGGTCGCCAGAAAAAGGAGTGTAAATAATTTATATAAAGGTAACCTTTTTAAGTGTTTTACTGGCCTAGACAATGAAAAGAAATACACAAGAACAGACCCTTGGTTATAACATAAAGCACAGATACAGGGAGGTGCAAAGTAGATATAAACAGAAAATGACAATTAGGTGAGCATAATATGAACCAGAGAGAATGAAGTCTCTCTACTGACATTCAGAAAATTATTGACTTCTACCTCTATAAGAAGTCTACCAAAAGAGCAAGACAGATCATGTGTCTGACCTGAGTCCAAATACTTAATTTGACTGGTTCTCAATGAGTCTTTAAGCCTTCACACAGGTGGAACCCATGAAGGGCTGAGAATTAGTAAACATGGAATGTGTGCTAAGAGAAAATCTACAAAAAGACAGAAGCCTGCAGGGAAACTTTGATAGTAGAGATGAAAAAATTAGAGCAGATATTAAATATTTCAAGACAGTACTTGTCAGACACATGATATATCTGGTTCTCTTGGTAGAAGTCTTATAAAGGCAGAAGCCAAAATCAAATTCTGAACTAAGTGCTTAGAAAGCAGATGACAGATCACACTTGAGCAGTAAACACACTAGGAGGAACAAGATAGAAAAGATCACCATGGTCTATGTTCAAGAGAAATATAGATATTTATGGTCATTGTTCAAGGGAAATATAGATATTTATGGACTATTATGTACTTTGAAAAGAGAGATTAATTAACACCGATATGTAAATGGATAGAAGAATAAAAAACAGAATGATATTAGATTCTAGATTTTCATTATACCTAGGATGCCAAAGTTAAAGGTCATGAAATTAGCAAGTGACCATGAGAGGAAGAAAAAGTTTCATAGAGAGGGATGGGAAAGAAATGAAAGATGTATGACATGGAGGACGGACGAAATGAGGGGTGTAATGAGATCAGCAATGCTGTACAAGGAGGGAAGAGAGAAGAAAATTTAAAAAAGAAGCTGTATGAGGATGTTATAATGAAGACTGTTACTTGGTATGCTAATTAAAACAAAATCATAAGTAACTCTAACTGAACCCATTTACTTGTAAAATAATTGAAAAAAAATGAAAGTATATAGAAGACCATTTCGAAAAATGAATGTGATTAGTGGAAGTTGAGGGGCAAGAAAGAATAATAACATTAATATGGTTAATAGTATACATCTATAAATATATGTAACAACAATTTTTAAAAACATTAAATGATATAAATATATTAAATGATATAGTTCAATTTCAAAAATTAAGAAATATTTTCAAACAAGCATAAAAATATATTTTGATTGCATATGAATATTTCATAATGAAGGTTATTGTTAGATAAAATTAATTATACTCATAAAAACAAACTCTAAAAGACAGATGGAATGCACCAATGCAAATAGAGGCAGAAAATGTCAATAAGCAAAAGTTGGCATAAAATATTTGAGTCCAGAATGAGGTCATAGACTAAAAATGGTAACATAGAAATAGAGAAAATGAGAGAAAGAGAGGAGAGGAGAAATGGAGAAATTGAGAGGCAGGGATGGTAAGAGGCAGAGAGAAAACAAAAAATAGAAGCTGGTAGGGGAAACGCTCAGGAGTGAATGAACGCTGGTAACAAACTACATCTTCTTATTTCTTCTAGGATTATACAAGAAACCTTCTCTGTCAGCCCTGATGGGCCCTGTGGTGATGTCAGGGGAGAATATGACGTTGTCCTGCATCTCTAACCATCAGTTTGACATGTTCAATCTGTCCATAGAAGGGGTGCCTCTGGGCCAGGGGCTGCCTGCAGTGCAGAGCCACAGTGGGACATTCAAGCCCAACTTCCTTCTTGGTCCTGTAATCCAGACAGGGAACTATAGATGCTATGGCTCTTTCAGTAACTCTTCCCATGTGTGGCCATCCTCAAGTGACCCATGGTACTTTCCTGTCACAGATAAGAAAGCCTCACATAGAGATCTCATATTTTGTGACTAATGAAATACTAAAACCATATCTGGGAACCATCCAACTGATGATAGACAGAAAGTATCATGGAACTACAGTGAAGGATAGCTGTGCATCCTAGAGTCATATATGTACATGTGTGTCTGTATGTGTGTGTAAGATATTTATACACTCATATGTATATATATATATATATATATATATATACTTATATTTCAGTTGAAAACCTTTTATAAAAGACATGGAACTTGAGACATGGTATCAGATTACAAAATGATAGACAGGTAGTCTCCCAAACACTCCTTATATGATTGCACCCAAACTGGGAGATCTGTGTGTCCAGGAAGATATTGAAACAGGTGAGGACAGACTCATTAAGGATGAGGTTCAAATCAGTTTGGGAAGAACAGAAATGTTGAAGCCCACCTGAAATCTCACACAGATCTCCCCATAGCATTCTTGTAGCTGTGTGGTCCCTACATGAGTGTGTGGGTTCATGCCGGTCCTTGGAATGAAGTCACAGAGGCATCTTATGAATGAATCTAGCCTATCATGGCTGCAGGGGGGTCTAGCCTCAAAGGACTGAAGCACTCTTCCCTTTGCCTAGGACAAATTTGTTTGTCCTTTTTCCAGTTTAGATAATAAATTTCCATACCTTCAAAGAAACCCAAAATGAGTTCCCAGAGACCAAATGCCAGGTGCAAAATACTTGAATTATCAGGTACCTTGGTTTTCTGGGGTTCCTGGACCAAGTTTTGCATAGGCCTTTGATCCTTGGGGGACTCTCTGATCCTTGACTCTCAAACAAGATTCACATAGGGCTATAAGAGAAACAAAAGGTAAGAGAAACAAAAGGTGTGGCTAAACAAAGGAAGGATTAGGGCTAAGAAGGATTAGGAAGGATTAGGAATCTCTGGAGCCAAGCCAGGAACTCAGCAGGAATGCCACTACATAAACATTCTTCTTGAATCATAACAACTTGAAATACAAAGAGAGAGTCTATACCTAGAAGCAAACCACATAATGGTACCATATAACTCTAAAGGTTCGACACTAAGGGGTTTAGTAGGTGCTGGTCACTGTCCAAACTCAAAAAACACTCCATAGATGAAGGCAGACAGGCTCTTGATGACCTTTTTCCCTCTCCTGTCCCTTGTTTATATTAATAAGATTATTTAAGATTCATGTTGCACTGCACTTTGGCTAGTTGTGGATATCTGCGTTGATCACCATATATTGCAAATATAAACTTCCCTGCTGAGTTTGAGGGATGCATTAACATAGGGATCCAAAGGAAAGTCATAGGAGTCAGTTTAATACTGCGTGCATTTAACAGAATGAGAATAGTAGTTTCTTCATCAAGAATCTTGTCCTAAAGATTAATATTCTATTAGTTAACCATCTATCAATAAATGTTAGGCAATCTATTACAGGGAATTTATGATTGTCATCTTATTTATTGCATTCATATGTTCCATCAGATAATCACGGGCTCCTGTATATTCTGATTAGATTGTCATTCTACATGATGGTTTTCTTGCTCATTTTCCTCATCCATTATTGGTGCCATGCAAAAAGGAATGTACATCAAGAAGGCAGTGAGTGTCATCTGAGTAGCATGAGAAACTGAACCTGGAAGGAATACAGGTGTGTGGTCTTCATTTACTTGGCCTAGGACAGGGACACTGACGTGGGTCTTTGCAGAGAGAACAGCTGAGCCCTTGTTCTTTCCCTCAGCTCACAGACCAGTGACTAATTCTTCCCTGTATATTCGCATTCAAAGCAGACTAATATCTAGAAGAAGGTTTTATGAAAGAGAGAGCACTAAAGAGAGAACTAGGAGCATAGAGGAAGAAAGAGATGGGGCTGGAACATAGAGCTACAGAACATCTGGTTCTCATGTGTGGGAGAAGAGAAACCTTGGGTTTTACCGCATCTCTCCTTAATAAATTGGTATTTGAAATGAGCATGCAGAAGTGCTTTCTTAGGTGTTATTAATTACTCCTCTCCTCTACAAATGCAACATCAATGACCAAGGGTCTGAAGTGAAAAGAATTTGGAAGAGATAGGTCCCCATGAAATCACACTTTCCCATGAAGGGTAATCTACATCCCCTCATACTGCACAAGAATATGTTCATATAAAAGCACTCAACATTTGCCTCTTTTTAGGACCCTGAAGGAAAATAAATGCAGAATGTGACACGCACAGAATTTGATCATTGGATGGTCACTGGAGGGCTTCTCTCCAGGTTGCACCAAACCCCATGGTCCCACAATCCACATATAAAATAATCACTCAGATGCTTATATTACTTATAAACTGTATGGCCATGGCAGGCTTCTTGCTAACTGTTTTTTTTTAACCTTAAATTAACCCATTTTTATAAATCTATACATTGCCACATGGCTGGTGGCTTACCGGCATCTGTACATGCTGCTTGTCCTGGCGGTGGCTGCCTTGTCTCTCCCCTTCTTTCTGTTTCCCCAATTCTCCTCTCTCCTTGTCCCGCCTACACTTCCTGTCTGGTCACTGGCCATCAGTGTTTTATTTATATAGAGTGATATCCACAGCACTTCCTCTTTTCTTCTTTTTTTAAAAAGGAAGGTTTTAACTTTAACATGGTAAAATTACATATAACAAAACAATAATCAAGCATGAATTACAGTTACAATATTAAAGAAGATG